AGAAAATGATGGTAAATCCCAAACAACAGTTTCATTTGTATCACACAGCAAACAAGTGAAATACTCAAATTCAGATCTGGTACAAATATGCCCTGTGAGAATTGTAATGCCGTACAGATAAAAAAATCAATGTATTACTTAATTATGCTTCAATGTCTTCCTTTATCACAAAACGGCTAGGTAACGAGTTAAAACTTCTAATTATAAGAAAAGCGAATGCAATTATTTATATATTTGGAAATCATGATCCAGAAGAAAAATTATTAGAAGTAACAAGAAGCAGTCTACATTTTAGGATGCCCCTTGGATTATCACCAAGTTGTTGTTTCATTTATTGTCAAATTGTTGTTTTATTTATGGTAACTTGAGTAGTTGAATGTTATTGAAACCCTATTATGACGTGAATAATTGCGGTGAATTTGACTGATATGAAAATATTTGTAAGGACTTATTTCTGTGTTGGATGTCAGTTAGGAAATATGTTGCTTATTTTGTGCTGTACATCGTAAAATGGCTGTATGTGACAAGATGAATGTGAAGTTTCTGCATGATTTGGAACAAAAGGGAAAAAATATTAATTGACTGATGTGTAAATTAAGGTTTACATAGTAGTAATTATAAGTGTCCTGTCTGTACGAAGGAAATGCGTATGGTCGAACGTAAAGTTGAATGGGTTTATTGCAAGAAAAGTTCATGCACGAAATGCCACCAACAGTCTGGCTCTACAGAGGATATTTTTTAATTTTACTTTTGTGAATTTGTGCGGTAACAGCAGTATGCATAGTCTAGTTGAGATAATTTTAGAAAGTTTTGGGATACCGTTAAGGAATTTTGTGTGCCACAAACAAGACACATAAATTTCTAAATATGGTAAGTCAATATTTCCTTTTCGTAGTGCGTATAGGCGACAATGTGCATTTCCTTTTTTTATGTTATTTCACTGTGCGATTTAAATTGCAGCTTATTGAGGCTTCAATTAGCTACAAATTTTGTTCAATTTTGATGATGAGTAACTTTGTTTCAACATTATATAATGTCATCATTCTCCTGATTTTTTTAAAGTGAAAATAGATCGATGCGCACATGGACAAAATCAAGGGAGTGCACAATGCCGAGTTTGCGCAATTCTCTGATTTTTTTCAAGTGAAAATATATGGATGTGTACATGGACACCAAGTCTGTGCAATTCTTCGACTTGTTATTTTGGTTTTGTGTAGCGACTATCTTAAAATTGTGCCTTGCTGGTCAATCACCAAGGGTCACACTTAAATATATTTTTACCCCAGAATCCAATTACAAAAGTGTAATGAAAGAAAATACAATTTGAAGTATTAATCACAGAGATAATTAAAAATGCATATGTTTGGGCCCAGATAGATCGGCAAAGTGCCGATACGATGAATTCGACCTATATTTTCCACTTGAAGTTCTGGCGTGGAATACTTTGGGGAAATAAATTTCGGTGGATGCAAAAAGATCAGCAGTAATTTAACTGCAATGAAGACATTGTTCAGAATTTGTGTTCAAGATCAGCTAAGTCATTCTGGAGAAATACTTGGAAATGTTTGCCATAGCATTGGCAATGGCAGCCTTTGACCATGGCTACGAAATAAACAAGAGAGTATTACTGGAAGGTTCATTAACTATCAAACAAATAGAGAATTGGCTAACTGATAGCTTAGGTATTGAATCTCAGTTTGAATAAAATTCATTGTATGACTCTGATGTCATGAAACAATTTGAAATAGAAATAAAATTTAATGGGAAAAAATATGAAGTTAGATTATCATTTAAAGTGGACCCAAAATTAGACAATTTCAATATTGCTAAAAAAAAGGACTACTCAATTTAATAAACAGATTTAAGAATAACTTTCATGTGATTACTGAAATGCACTTTTTTTCTTTCGAAATCTCTTCATAATTTTAGACCAGTATTTTTTCCCATTCATTTGCCTTTTCTACTATTGATTGCATGTTTTATAATGAATAATTACCAAGAATTTCTCAAGCTTTCAAGATGGTCAAGCTTAAACTATAGTTAAACTTGAAGCTTTTACCAATAGATGATAATTGCTGATTTATTGAGGCAAACTGTTAATGGCTATTCAAAACTAAAATCAGTGTAAAATGATATAAGCTAATCATTAACAGTTAATATTAACTATATTTTTCCTTCTGAATCCCTGTGTTTATTCCAATTTTAGTTTGTTTTTGATCTATCATGATAACATTCATCATAATAAAAATGTTAGTGGGTTTTTAAGCTAAATGATGAATAACACTGTTCTCTACACAGATGAAAATTAATAAATGGAAATGCTTAGTCATAAATAATTCTGAAGTGCTCATAAGCGAAAAGTTTTTAGTTTAAAGAAAGAGTTCAAAAGAGCTCTTTATTAAAAAAAATTAATTTTGAAATGCTTACGTTTCACTTCTTGCTTAGAAACTTGAGTATCCTATCATTTATATTAGAAACAAATTACAACCCATTCAAAAGATAACCATACATTTCAGAGAATCGCCAAAAAATATTCCTCCCGAATGCTAATGCACACTCAAAATGGCAGTTGTAATAACAGACAGAAATTTCAAACGATTAAAATTAAGGACTTTTAAGGACCAAAAATCGATTCCGAAAAATCTAAGGTTTCTTAAGACCGTATGAACCCTGCATACATTCCTGAATCCAGTCCCGACTGCAAATTTTCTACTTTTAATCAGCAAGGATAAAAGCTTGAAATTTAAATTAGGTGAAATATTCCATGAAATGTTGCTTATGCAACCCTTTTTCCTTATTGTGTGATAATAAATATAATAATAATTAACTTGTAATAAATTTTAATCATCATTACAACTAGACGGTTGATCTTTACAATATGGTAACTGGTAGTTTGGCGACATTTTGGAGGCGATAAAGGTTACTACCTGGGACTTTGGTAATAATGTGAGCAGTACTCAGTTCCGATTACGCATTATTTTGTGTAGGGAAATGAGAGATCATGGGGATATGTCATGTGATATTTAAGGAAGAATTACGGTTCTTAATCGAGAAAAGGGGGGAAATCGGGAAAAAATCTGGAAAATTTTGTATTGGCTTTATTATGTGTTGTGTGGAAACAGTGTTTCGTGAATTTTGGATCCCATGGATAACTAAAGTGAATTCGAAATGGGTATTTATGTATGTATTAATTTTTAATGTATGTGCTCATTTATATTTTAAGTAGTGTTTTTGAATTTAATTATATTTTAATTAAATGATAGTTATTTTGTGAATTTTTATGTTTGTAGGAATTTGGTATACGTTTTTAGTTGAAGTAAACGTGCATGGAAATAATTTAAATATCTGATACTAAGTATTTTAAATGCTTGCGGTATGAATTCGTTGGTGACGTGTTATAATGTAATAGATGATTTAGAGGTAAAAGTTTTTTGGATATTTTATTTATTTTATATGTGGAAATGTTCATATTTGGAAAGGGTAAATACTTATTCGCGATCAGGTAATTTCATATATGTTCTTTTTACCGGGTTTAAAGATTGAGAAAATTGTCATGTATTTCATGAAATTTTCCTAATTTATGAGAAAAAAGCAGTGTACATGGATATAGTGAACAGTGTGCGCAATGCCATTTTTGTGCAATTCTGGGATGTTTTTTAAGTAAAATAAGTCGGCGTGTAATGGTTTATGTGTATGTGTATTTGAACACACGTAAGGAGTGTGGTAATGTGCACTTTTTCCCAATTTTGCAGTGAATATTTGTCATGATTAAGCAGTTTTGTTAGATAAAATTTCTAGCATAAGTGTAATTCGGCTAGTAGATTGTTTGAAGAAGTGTTCAGTAGATAAAAAGAAAAGAAACATGTCTTTACTTCGTGAAGACAAAATGGCGGCGGGAAAAAAAAATAGAGGGTTGCTGTAGGAGAGTTGGTCCCCAAAAAAACACCAAGTTACCATAATGTAAAGATCAACCACAACTAGTAATGAGCTATGAAAAAATTTACAAATGGCTCCAATTTTAAATTATTAAAAAATAGCAAATTCAAATTAAATGTTGTAATATTTATAAAAATATAAAATACAAATAAATGATCATGCAATTTTTTTTTAATTTCAAAAATGAAAAAGTCACAAAATATCACTGAAATCATTAAATAAATCAATTTAATTATGACACTCAATTTGAAGCTGCCATTTTTTTCATTCTTGCACTGCAATTTATCTTTAGACAGTTTTATAAACAAGCAGTGATTTTTCAGAAACTTAGAATTATTAAATCTCTTACTGCACTTAAAGGAACTGCCATTTAATTTGAAATATGTCAAAAAATATATTGTGGAAATGCATGTGTATCAAGCTGAGAGCTCATTTAGTTTCAGACCTACTTTTTTATAATTGCATTAGTCTTCATAACATCTTTGGTTTCCTTTATAGTATTAGGAATTTCATCATGCATTTTTTCTATTAAATCTTTTTTAACATAATCCCCACAATGAAAATGAATCCCACATTTTTATTTCGTGCTTTAATACCAACTTTAATGTTTGTCAAAGTCTGTTTATGACACAGAAGCTGAAAAACTGGAAAATTAATTATTTTCATAGGTATTTTACACACTAAAATAGCATAGTATATTTTAAATATTAAGTGATCAAGAATGTGCTTAATAACACGAATAGTCTACTATTTTAGCAAAGAAAAATATAACTATTTACTAGCGGAACAAAATTTTGCTTTAAGAAATACGTAATAGAAATTAATAGATAAATTAGAAAATTAAGTATCTATGAGGATTTAATGCTATGTACTTGAATTCAACTGCAATTTAATAAAGCAAAAGAAATTGCATAAAACAACATTAAATTTTTATATAAATATTTGAATTTTGTAAATAAAATCTACATTTAAGAATTACATGCACTTCATACAGAAAACGGGCAGTACGTTTCAGTTTGCATTTAGTACGCAGTATTATTCACGAAGAAATCATGAAAACTTACTTTGAATATGCAAAAACTTTGAAATCCGGTTATTTGAAGTTAAAACGGGCTTAGTCACAAAAGACTTCCAAAGCTCATTATATATTTACTTAAATACTGTTCTCTGATACATGATTAAAACAAAACTACGGTTTTAAACACTTCGGGGTAAAATATGCGAAGTAAAAAGCCACATTTCCATAATCTTACACTATGAAAATTCAGATACGTAAACAGTTTTACTAGAATTAAAAGTTTAAATAAAAAGTAACATGCATTTACACAATTTCAAAATATACCGTCTGCCAGATACCGCAACATTTAGTCACCCTACGTTCATTGGCATGAGATGAGTTGTATCTCCTTCTACCAAAAAAAAGCAAAGAAAACTCACATATCAAATATTTATCTAGCAAGTTTTTAATGATTATCTACTTATTAACAGAACTAAATAAAGAAGGAGTAAGTAATTCTTCAGAATTTATCAAAAGTTTCATTGAAATTAATTCATACAACAAAATTAAATTAGACTGGCCTGAGTTTTAGAAAAACGTTCCACCTATTTACAGATTAATATACATTTAGTATCATATATCACGAATTTAATATCTGTCATGGAAGTTTCCATTCTCTGGGAATTTTTCCCTCAATAATTTTGATCCTTGTAGAGAGACTTATGCTCATTTCCTTCAATATACGATATATCATATATGGTTATTGGGGGTAAAGAAATTAATCATATTTTAGACTGCTTGAAATTTAGATTTAAGTTCTGCTTGAAATTTAGATGTAAGGTGAAAAAAACTTTCCAGATGACTTCAAGTTGATTTTAGATACGAATAAGTTTTTGTCAACAGAAAAACTCTTTTTGGAGGTCTTGATATATGGCAGAATATTTCTTTTCGGATCAGAAATGTCCTTCCTACGAATTTTTAATCGATAACCAGTAAGAACTATTTTGGATGACATTGTTTCTTATAATGAATACTCTTGTTTTTGATTTGACAGCCACGAAGACTTTGATAAATCATTTTATTGCAGAATCTAAAATACTGTTGAAAACAATGTTCTAAACAGCTCCATGCAGAGAGAAATTTTAGCCATTTGGCAACATTCACTAATATTCTTGAAGCAGAAGCTTGGTGTTGTTCAACTCGGCGTACGTGTGGTACTGCAAAAACGTGTAGGTAAGTATATTAGTAATAATGTTGGGTTTTGAATTTATTTATAATTTAAAGGCAAATATTTTCACAAATTGATTGCAGACAGATAAATTTCTCTTCTTATTTTGTGATTAAATTAAATATTTATAAATGGTTATTGAAAATAGTATTTTTTAACATTAAGCCGCCATTTTTCAGAAACGTGGTTCAGTCTTTTTGTGTCTTAATAGGCTTTATGTATCTTAGTATGTTTTAGGAAAGCATAATTTTTGTAGCTGTTGGTCGTTACTAAACTCCGTTTTCATTGCTTTTATCTGTTTTTAAGTACGTAAATCATTGTGCAGTAATTATTATGGAATCCACTTTGAAAAATCCAGACGTATTCTGTGTTGAATAATTTATTCTTTTAAGTAGACGAACTTGATGTAAAATTGAAGGTAAATGTATTAGTGAAAGACCTTAATTTAAAAATATTGTAAATTACCTTCTTGATAGTCTTAATTTTTTTGTCAGTTTTTGCGTAGAATTCTTAATTTTTGTCGATAATTTTTAACTGAGTCTACAGCAGGGGTGGCCAACCTTTTTGGAAAGAGTGCCGCTATCTATAAAATAAAGTAATGACTTTCACATCCAACTTTATGAACAGACTAAAAAATATAACAAGGCGAAGAAAATTTTATTTACAGGCTGATTATGAGGTTTTTACTCTGATAACACATTTTTTAATGGAAGTCTGAGTAGTGGACATTTAAAAAATATAAATGAAACAAACGTACAGTCTAGGGTTTTATTGTTAATAAACATTTTTAAAGGTTCAGTCAGTGATAATTTGAAGTGAATAATTTGAAACATTAAGTTATGAAGACAAAGTGGGTACTTTATTAATGTGCTTTTTGAATATGTAGTTTATTTACCAAGTCATGTATTAGGTAGTTGCTGGCTAGATTTGGTGTTTTTTGGTTCAGTTAATCTTGGAAAGGTATTTTCATTTTATTATGTTCATAATACAAAACATATCTTGATCCATACCTATAACAGTACAAAGGGCACCCTTTAATCTATTCTGACTGTGATTTTAATTGTGCATTTTTAACATATTTTTTTAAGTAAATATAATAGTAGCCATGCAAATCTATATCTGATTGGCTAATTTAATTATTTGTAACTGGTCACCCTTAAAAGCTATCTCTGCATATTAAAGTGAGTTATTGCCTTTCATTAATGTTTACATCATTAATCAAGATACGACACAAAAATGTAAAACTTAATTATTTTTATCTAGTGAGACTTAATAATACAAAGTGTATAGCCTCTGGTGCTTTAGGGGCTTATTGGAACCTTAAAATATATTTATTGGGTTACAATCCCATGAACTTTGTGCGAAGTAATGACACAAACTATGCCAGACAGGCAGAGCACAACAAACTATGAAATCTTGCCTACATCAGGCTTTCAGGTTTGTTCTGATCAGCAGGCCTCTCCAGGTAAGTATCAGTGGTGGTAACAGCCAGTTTCTGTTAGGAATCATGCAGATTCTGATTTTAGTTGTCATTTTAACTTGCGCGTTTGACATAAAAGAAAAAATCAAAGTAGAGCTAACTGTTAGTAAAATGTAAAATGTCACTAATCTTTATTCAAGTATGTCATTATAGTCGTATGCCACTATTATAAGGGTAAAATATTTAATGCTGCCTGATCAATTTTATGAAGTTGATTTTATTCTTAAATTTGTTTTAAAATTATGTTTAATAATAATAATAATGCATTCTACACTGACTACCAATAAGTATTTGGACATCTGTGATAGAAAAGAAAAACTAACTTTATTCAAAATCAATAGTTGGTAGAGCTTCCACGAGAGGTAATTACAGCGTGGACCCTCCGGAGCATACTTTCCACAAGTCTTTGTATGATAGCTAGTGGTATTTTCTTCCACTCGGCTTCAAGAAGACCATTTTCTTTTCTAAGCTTGTGTGATTTATCCAGGTCTGTGTCCATGTCATCATCGTCCGTTTTAGGTATTGGTGTCCTGAAAAAGGACATTTTCTTGTACCCAAGGATACCTGATCAGAGTAATTAAGAGTAGTCTCAAAAATCACTAATGCTGAACTGTCCGCCTACTGGACTGGGACAGTGCTGATAAACTGCTTTATTTTAAAAAAAATAGGTTACAAATTAAAAAGGTTAATAAATTTTGAAAGGGGCAGACATTCTTGCCTGTAGTGACATTTTATAGGATTTATATTTTAAAATGTAGAAATATATTTGTAGTCATCTTTATGCAATGCCATTTCTCAAATAAACTTCAAATTCTTCTGGGACAGCAGATGTAAGCAAATTTGAAAAATGGGCCAATTTTTTTTAAAAAATTTATTTATTAAATGATTTGGATGAACTGTCATTTGTTCAGGCACCTGGGCAGTTTCCCCATCCTGTACAGAATTGTCAGCAGGAGCACATAATGTAGAATTATGGCTAACGTGATGGTGAGGAAATGAGAGACAGGCATATGACATTTTCCTAACCGTGAAGTTATCTAAATAAAGATATATCTCCGGATAGTAATGTTTGCTAGTACAAAGATAGCATTTCATGTGGAGAGTTCATGAAACGGGTGAGAGAAAAACATGAAGAGTGTGGTGGCAGGTCAACATCTTGTAAGACATCCAGCACTTGACTAAGAACAGAATTTATAGAGGGTGTAAACAGAAGACGGAGGTGTGGCTATAAGTCACCTGCAGTCGAAAAGGGGTACTTGCGGAAAATCCTGTCGACCATAAGAGACGGTACCGATCTCACCAAACAAAATTTTTTTTACTAAATATAAGAAAAAATTTTCTATTATTTTCTTTCAAATTTATTTTATTACTTATTAAAATTTAATTTTTCATTAAAAATTTCCATTATTTTTTATTAAGCAGCACTGTAAAAGCACTTATTTTTGCTTTGTTTTAATAAGTCTCGCGAATTCCCCCCCCCCAGATAATAATAAAAAAATCTGAAATTTTTCACTTACCAAATTTTGCAAAATGTTCAGCCAGTGAAATCACCGATATCCTTATTTTAGCGAAAATAAGTGCTTTTACAGTTAGTACTCACTCGGATTTATTGCGGTGGCCAAAAATTCCTAATTTCAGTAAGAATAGCAACACATATTCTTCATCCTTGTGAGATAAATTCATCCATATATGAATCCAAATGATGGCACGCGACCCCACGTTGTCCAATTTTGGCGAAAAATTACGTAGTTTGGCATCTTTTCTTTAATAGGCAGAAATGGTCAGTTAGATTTTCCATAAGTACCTGAAAAAGTTCATGAGGCTGAAAAAAAAATTATATTAAAAAGCACAACAGGCATTGACAGGGGGCCAGAGCTTTTAAAGTAAGCATACGATGTTTGAAAAAGATGGCCAAAAGTAGGAGTGGGGCAAGTTGAAACATTAAGAGAGTAAATTAAATGTGTACTCTCTGTTAGTGTTCCGTTTATGGTAAATGAATGAACTGCTTACTTAGGATATTTTGGATTAAGCATTCATATGTAATGTGAATATGAACAATTTTCTTTACAAAGTCTCTTCACAGTGGCATCTCTATAGTTACTTCTTGCAGAAATAACTTTTATTGATGCAGTGTTTGATTAATGCAGTGTTTGTAGTAATGTGTTTTTAGTTACTAAAAAAAAATTTTTTTTAATAGATTGTGCATGAAGACACTGAATCACATATAAAATGGTTAATACGAAAGGTTACAGACGTGGTACAAGGTACCTTTTTTCCAGAAAATTCCGTCACCATGGTGTGGAACCTTTGTCTACATTCTTAAGAGTATATAAGAGAGGAGATATTGTTGATATTAAAGGAAATGGAGCTTTTCAGAAGGGTATGCCCTATAAATACTATCATGGAAAGACTGGGAAGGTTTTCAATGTCACTCCTCATGCTGTTGGAGTTATAGTTAATAAGCGAGTGAGGAACCGTATTATTCCCAAACGTATCAATGTCAGAGTGGAGCATGTGAAACATTCAAAATGCCGTCAAGATTTCCTTGAAAGATTGAAAGAAAATGAAAAGAAGAAAAAGGAAGCAAAAGAAAAAGGAATAAGAGTTAATTGCAAGAGGCAGCCTCAACAGCCGAGATTGGCGCATCTTGTTCAAACAAAAAACAATGAACCACAATATTTGGAACCTATACCATATGAATTTATTGCATAATTAATATCTTGTAACAATAAATTGTAACAAGCAATCTTCTGTTTTTATTTCTTAGTTGTTTTCGGCAGCAACATGGTATTTGCATGAAACAAATGAAAAATTTGTTTATCTAGCAGTTAAATTTTTACAACAAAACATTTCAGTAAGAAAAAGTTAAAATGTTATCAGACTTTGTATTAATTTATGTAATGCTTCATTTATTTAGTTATTTATATTATTTCAATTATTTATATAAAATTAAGATCAATGGATTGTGTTCACTGGAGTTAATGTTTTAAAAGCGTGGAAGAATTTGCAATTTATTTGTTTTTGTTCATTGTTAATGGCAGAGAATTTTGAATTGGTTCTTTATTTCTTCACATCTGCAGAAAATGCAAGGAAGAATTTCTTGCGGGTTGTAGTATATAAATATGAGAGGAGGTGATACAATGAGTAGAGCCATCTATTTTCTGCAACGAAAAATTTATGTAACTAATGAATTTCACAAGTATTTTTATGCAACTATTTTGGATCTTCATATTTACTATTTCATGGTAAGTACACCCAACATTCGACTTTTCATCTAGTTGTATTTTAAAAGTCGTTATGATTCTGTTTTTCTTCTCATAATTATACGAACAAACCAGGTTGCTTTAGAAGAGTTCTTGCTCAAAGTATTCTTTCGGTATAGACATCAGAGTTCCTTATCAAGCTATAGGATTCTTCACATTCATGTATCAGCTTGAGGTATTTGTAAGTCATGTTATTAAATGCAAGTAATTTTACTTTTCATTCAAGCTAAAACTGGTATGAAATTTCATGCTTTTAATTTATAGAAAAAATTTGTACTCATTTATAGTACCATAATAACAATAAGTAATCATAAGTTAAAAAAAACCTTTGAGATGAAATGCATGATTAAAATTAATCACTTTTCAAATGCCAGTTATGCAGATTTATTTTTTGCATTGTATATAGCGTATGCTATTGTATAACATGTGGATAGATTCTAAAATCAATTGTATAGTTAAATTCTGAGATAGGCGTGAAAGCCTACCAAATCTTAAGGAAAAGATTTCATTGTTTCCCTTAGTTTTAATGTACTTAACCTAGACGTCCTGCTAATTGGTTATCATCATATCTGAGGCAGGCATACATAATACTTTTTCTCTCACTAAAGGATTTTTTTAAATAGTAAATCAGTGATAAAGTCTGAATGTTTGAGTTTTACCAGTATTCTATGCTTTGTTAAAAAAGGTACTCTTCTGTTAGGACCAGATTCGGTGTATATACTTATATGCATGCATTTCTGAGTAATCTCAGTAAATAAATTTATAAGGAAAGTTGACATCCCAATAGTCAAACTAATATTTCTCGACCTTTCTGAAAATAACAAATACCAACTTTGTGTATGCATAAACTACTTTGTAACTTATCTGATTTGTAATTCGTATGTTCACTCTGCTGTTAAATAACTTAGCAGTTGAAAACATTGAATTTTAAAATAACTTGAAAAACTTATTCAGATATTTGTGGAATTGATGTGCTATAAAGTAGGAATTGAATGAAATGTTATGGATTTGTAAGACAGGAAAAGATTTTTCCCATTGAAATTATGAAATTTTAATGTCTTTCATACCAAGCTATTTTTATTTGAATGCATTTTATATTTTGGTTATTTATACTAAAAGAAAGACAATATGCAGAATCCATAACCAGCATATGTGATAACCATAAAATAAGTTTTTCCTTTTCTCTTTGATTTTGTGGTGTAGTGTTGCTTGTAAATAAGCATTTAATATGAAATATAGCTTTAGTTCTTATTAGCTTGAAATAATGTTAGTATTCCATGTCAAATCATAAAAGATTGTAGACAATATGCGGTAAATTTCGTGAATATGACTGATATTTCCCACTAGTTTTTTTATTCACAGTGATAAACATGTTTTCCTAGTCTAATTTCGATTTTTAATTTAATGTAATACATACATAATTTAATATGAGCAATGAATTTTCTTTTTCTTTGAGTCTTTCTGAAATTGTGTTTCTTAAAATTTCTTTAGCAAGAAGCATTCTTTTTTTTTTTTTTTTTTTTTTTTTTTTTTTTTTTTTTTTTTTTTTTTGTTTTTTTTTTTTTTTTTTTTTTTTTTTTTTTTTTTTTTTTTCTTTTAAATTTTTTTTTTTTTTTTTTTTCTTTTAAATATATTTTATATTGATAACCTTAGAATTAGCAAAACAAAACTTTTAAAAATATATTCTTCTATTCAAAATTAATCAATTAGAAATTCTGAGAACAGTTTGTCTTTAATCTTTCTTTATTCCTTTAGTAAAATTTATTTTGCTCTTTCAGTATAAACAAGTGAAAAGTATTTTGACCTTATATGTTTGCATTTCAGTTGATAGAGAATGAGAGTAGTAAATGAAGTAATTTTGCTTAATCCTTTAGCGTTTTGTGTCTGCTTTAGAAATAACTAACTGAAACTGTGTATGGTTTTTCCACAAACTGAATTTGAAACAAGACCAAAAACCATGATTCGTAAGCCTCGTTTATTAATTAAAAACATGGAGCAATGACTAATAAAGTGGTTCATTTCATTTTCAATTACACTTGTTTATTCTTCTGGTGCTTTTCCAAGAGGCCTTTCTGTGTTACATCTACAGCAAAAATACTAATTACTTCTCAAACAGCTACTTGGGTCTAGTTGTGCATATAATTTTAGAATTTATATCCGAGTTTCTAGAGAAGTAAAAAAGCATCAAAACATGTGATTTACTACAAGGAATTCAGTATTGCATACACTAAATTTAATCCAACATACATAAAATACCATACCATAAACACAGCAATGCATAAGAAAATACTATACTGTATGTACTTAGAATAATTTGAGTAGAATTATAAACAAGTTTTATTTTTCTGTGTGTAATGTAACTCAAGACAGATATTATGATAACGGTATGCTGGAAAATTAAGAACACAAGCAAGTGCATTTAACATTGAGTAAATGAATGTCTCGGTGATCATTTTCGTAACAATACCATGGACAACACTAAAATTTGAATATATATCATCTTACTACATTCAATTTATGTGGCATTAAAGGTGCAGCATCATGCTGTGTAAAAGTGCATTCAAGATTAAAATAAATCAAAATTCACCAGAGACACGGAACAAGTTCAATAAGCACGAGAAGATACATGGTGTAATTTTGTTTTCGATGCACACAAAAGCATTCAACAGGGAAATGCGGATACTTTTTAAGTGAAAATATATCTATGTATAACATGGACAAAATTAAGGCAGCGTGCAATGCCTAGTTTGTGCAATTCTCTGATTTTTAGTGAAAATAGATCTATGTGCACGTGGACACAGAGTTTGTTCAATTCTTACTTTAGTTTTGTGTAGTGAACATCTTGAAATTGTTACTTTTTGGCATAAAAACAAGGGGCACCTAATTGTGAACTTATATTCCCGGATTGAACTACCAGTGATCATTGCCTCATCACTGGTGGGCATTGATTAACTTGCACATACGTATGCAATACTTTAAATACTGTTGTGTGTAATACATAATAAAATATCCAATAACGTTCCTTTAGTGCAAGTAAGTTATCCTATTCATTGTGTAAAACAAATAGCATCACTGTACTTGCAAGAACATTACAATTAAATGCATTGAGTGTTAAAAAATAGAATTATAAACATTGTGTATTATTAATATAACATCAGGCAGTACTGTTTCTTTGTGGTTAAATCTTTCTCAATTCTTATTACTCCAAAGACTATGTGCATGGCTTAATTTCTAAAATAAGTCAATTTTGTGTGTTAAGGGTCTATAAGTTACAATTCATTCTAAATTTTACCACACTATAAATTATTTTATATACCGCCCCTCAAATATTCTTCACATATAAACCATTAAATTCAATTCAACAAAAATATTGCAGAATAATTTTAAAATGTGTATATCTTTAGAATTTCTGATACGGTATCGCATTGGAGGTAATTTTTTTTTTTTTTTTTTTTTCCTGTACAGTATTGCCATTGCTCGCTTTGAAATTATTAAGTTTGTTAATGCAAAAATTCATTGAAATGTTACAAAATGAAATCGATAAAACAAATTCGGGCTTCCAGATGTGCATATTCAGTGGAAGATTACGTTACTCAAAATTTGGTGGCTCGAGGTACCGTTGCTTTATTGCAATGTGAGAAATTTATGTGGATTCTTCATTGTTTAATTTCTTTAAATATAAAACAGGTTTCTAATATTTGTTGACAAAATTTGAAAAGTGAACCAACGTAATATGCCAAAACGAAATTAATAGCCCTTCTGGGGCTGATTATGGCATATCATTTTAGGGTTATCTGCTTAAGGGGAGGGATGTCGTGGAGGACTGTCTAAGGGACGTGTCATACCCTAGTCGTGCTTAAGAAAACCCAAGAAACCGCCTATGCAGCTGGTCCGTTCCCATGGGATCGAACTACCTAAATTCAGCGACTTAACTCATTTATTCGACTCGGCCGATGGTGGGCTCCATTGACTACACAGAATAGGAACCTATTGAATTATCAGCATTTTAGGTACCAGAAATACAATATGAATAGTCCACAAGTTATATATAAGCAATAAAAGGGAATAAAAACACTGTAGAATATAGAAAACAACGTATTAAGAGTGCATAATTCATTTTCTTAAGCATTCAATTGTGTTATTATACTTGAGGCTATCATTGTGGCTTATTAGTTACATTAATTTAGCAAAGGTACTACAGCAACTTCTGCAGTCTCAAATTTAAAAAAAATTATTATTAAGGCTTTCTTCTTTCGTATTATTCAAGAAAAGAGTAATAAACAGCTTTCATTTAAACTTCACACTATTTGGTAAAATGTTCCACACATAAATACTCGCTAATTTTATAATACAGTCAAAAGTCGTTAATTCGGACACCCATAATCCGGACGTCAAAGCTACAAACTTTCTGCGCATGCGTCATGTTAAAGCAGGCGCATAATACGTTTACGCATGCGCGTTTAATGTATAACGGATTGTATAAG